ATGACAATAATCAAAGATATCTCAAGCCAGATAGATCTTATGTATATACTGATGTTTGTTTTGAATGTCTATGTTCGAAACCGGAGAACCGTGTTATCATGAGAACGATTGCTTTGTCTTTGTCAGTGTTATAGAAATATATATGAATATGAGCGACGAAAAAAAGAACCTTCGTTCTCATAAGAACGCTACTCCCCTATTTTAAGAATAAGAACCCTGATAGCAAGGCCCCCATAATTCATAAATTGTATCTTTTCGATATTTGTGACACATCCAGTCCATGGACACTATTCCAAGAAAAATTCAAGGAATGACTAGAAATGCGGCTCTAAGATTCACATCCACCGTAAATAATGGGAACTATATTATATTAGCGTCAGGGTTCTGTGGGTTATTCTGTACCTTGAGGTTACATTGTAATACCGGCCCTTACTTCACCATTTTATTATTGATTTTCGATTGTCTTGTTCTAATGGCAATGTCAGTCATGTCGAACTTGAAGAATTTTTTTTCATTGTGAGATATTTTAGTTATCTTAGTGTGGCGAGATCAATCGTTAGTTAAGTCCTTATTAACAAACAATAACCTTAGATTGTGCCACACAAAAACACTATTATACTGACATTGAAACAGTCTAAGGTTTTTGTTAACTAACAAGGACTTTACCGATTGATCTAGCCGCACTTGAAAGGAAATTTTGAAGCCCTTGAAACATATCTGCCAAGTTTTTGTCTTCCTTCTATGCCATCATTTTCTCTGTCTATTGTCATCAATGGCCGAGCTTTTGATTATTCACATATAGGCGGAATTTACTCCTTATAGATTGTGATTTACACAAATTTTGATATTTGTGACGAATTCAATCCATACCGTTCTTCAAAGTAAATCAAACAACGTTCTCTACCTAAAATGTTGATGGGGCGTTTTTGAGACCAAATGGCATACGAACAAACTCATAATGACAATAATCAAAGATATCTTACCACAGATAGATCTTATGTAAGTATAAACTGAAGTTGACAGGTTAGGTAATTTAATGTTACTTTGAGATTTAGCTAAGGTATTCCTAAGTTAAACATGAAATATGAAATCAATTCCTTTAGGTGAGTCTCAAGATTCACATCAAAAGTCAAGAATAGTGAAAATTTGAATTTTTTTATCCAATAATAAATCTGGTAGTTGGTACCTACTTATTCAACTTTAGCAATACCTATGGCCATTTGCACCGCTATCACTTAAGGGATATAAAGGGATATTTAAGTTAAGTGGAGTTTTTGAATGTGACTTTTGTTTCTACGAGAGTCGCATTCAAAGCTCCACTTGGATTAAATATTCCTTAAGTTATAGCGGTGCAAATGGCCGTGAGACTGTTAAGGTACCCTTAAGTTAAATACGAAAAGTAGCAAGTGTCCATTCTAAACTCACGACTCCAAGGAAGATTCAAGGAACGACTATAAATTCGGCTCTAAGATTCACATCCACCGTAAATAACGAGAACTTTATTGTATTAGGGTCATAGGGTTCTGTGGTTTATTCTGTACCTTAAGGTTACATTGAAATACCGGCCCCTAATTCATCATTTTGTTATTGATTTTCGATTGTCTTATTTGTCTTGTTCTAATGGCAATGTCAGTAATGTCGAACTGTCGAGAAGTTTCCAATTTTGATTATTAGCGGCCCTTAGAGAATTTTTGATATATTTGTTTTTTTTTTGAGATATTTTAGTTATCTTAGTGTGGCGAGATCAATCGTTAGTTAAGTCCTTATTAGCAAACATTAACATGAGATTGTGCCACACAAAAACACTTTTATATTGACATTGAAACAGTAAGGTTTTTGTTAACTAACAAGGACTTAACCAACGAATGATCTAGCCGCACTTAAGAGAAAGTTTTGAAGCCCTTGAAATATATCTGCCTAGTTTTTTCTCCCTTTCTATGCCATCATTCTCTCTGCCTATTATCATCAATGGCCGAGCTTTTGATTATTCACATATTGGCGACATTTACTCCTTGTAGATTGTGGTTTACACAAATTTTGATATTTGTGACGAATCCAATCCATACCGTTCTTCAAAGTGAAACAAACAACGTTCTCTACCTAAAATGTTGATGGAGCGTTTTCGAGACCAAATGGAATACGAATAGACTCATAATGACAATAGTCAAAGATATCTTACCACAGATAGATTTTATTTATGAACTGAAATTTGTTCTGGATGTCTATGCTCAAAACCGGGGAACCATGTTCTCATGAAAACGATTGCTTTGTCTCTGTCAGTGTTATAGAAATATGAATATGAGCGACGAAGAAAAGAACCTTCGTTCTCATAAGAACGCAGCTCCCCAATTTTGAGAATAAGGACCCCGATGGCAAGACCCCCACAAATTATTCCCTTCCAACCAACACCGTTCACAAGATGCCTCAAACTAGGTGAATACTGGACGCGAAGTTTTTAAGATATGTGTGAGGCAATGTGTCATCCTGAATTCTGTTTCTGAATTCAGAAAGACATTCTGGTTGTGTGAGACCGGCCTTAGATTGTACAATTGATTTTCGATATTTCGATTTAAAAAATTTAAAAAAATTAAAAACTTTTTGAATGTTTTGGTACCCGAAAAAAAAAATTCCACTCATGACCCCCCCATGTCCGCAGCCCACGAGCTGCCGCTGTATTGTTATCATAGGATATATTGGGGGCCTGAAGTTTTGCTTGTGCCTTGGGGCCCAATTGAATCGAAAATAGGCCCTGATGGTACCTGGATATAATTGATTTAGAAGCTTATCAATCAGAAGGTAAAATTGTCTTTATTCTTAGAATAGGTACCGCTGATCGAACCTGAGATATACACTCTTTACATCTACCCTACCCCGATTCTGGAAAATCGAACAGGTTTTCATCATATTTTACCAATAACCAAAAATATATCGCGAGAAATGAACATTCTTTATTGTACATATTACTCCAAAGCCTGGATCACTGCAAATCTCTTGATAATAACAGAAGGATATGTTCTAACCTTCTATAGTACTCTTATAGACAGCGATGCCATTTGCGAAACCTAACTCTTGAAGTCAACAGGGACACTTCCCAAGACTTGCCAAACCTCAATCTTACTCGCTAGTGACTACAATGTGCAAGAGCTATACTCAAACTACTGGCTCATAACATTATCATCGTCCCTTCCAATCATTATCAGATGTGATGGCAAAAAGAGTGTGACAAAAAGAATCAACACCAACACAGTGCTCAAGCTCCAACCAACATGCAATGCCTTTGTAGGAAATTCCAGAATTCATGCTAGGCATCTAGCTGAAAAATACAGAAACGTCACCTATAAAAGCCATCCAGTGGAAATTCTCTATGACTTCTGCAAACACCTGCCAGTGAATCTTCATGTGCCAGAGTTGAAACCTCTTAAAACTATCTAAAATCAACATCGATCATCTAAACGTGGCACAGCATAGATTAAACCAATTTTCCGATGAACCGGATGAACTAATTCAAGAACCATTCGTATCAAGACACAATCAATGGTTCACTTCCTTTATCATCGTTCTAATAGCAGCCCTCATTTACATTTGTTGTAAGTGTCGGCGAAAGGCATACCTTCCAAACCTAGCCCTTTCGACGAAGACGGACCGCCGAAGTCTCATTCACGTCTTCAAATAGGCAACAACCTTAGAAAGCTTTTACCGAAACGAAGAAACACCGTTCATCCAAATCTACCCTCAGAATCAGAGGTGACCAGTCTAGACAACAACCCAGTTGGTTTTTAAAAAATTGCTGCCAAGCCCAACTTTTTACTTAATGGTAGAGCTGTTATATGGATTTCACGTCTACAATGACCTCCAGACGCGTCTCATACTCACGGTCGTACAAAGTATCGCAAAGTCTATACTTCAGCAAGTTATCCTGTCTAACATGTCACATGTCAGAACTGCTCCATCGTCGAATGCTCCCATAAAAATAGCAAGATCAACATGTTTTAAAATATAAAAGCGCCTCTCTCTTTAGTTAAGTCGTCATTATTAAGTTAGTTGAGCTAATGTCCGACTAGTATATTATTCGAGAAATATTGACATTATTTCAAATTCAGTTAAATACGAAATAATTCCCATTTTCAAAATAACGCCCTAGGACGTTATGACTATTTTTTTGCAGGTACTTGATTTGTTTTAGATTAATTTATTCAAAATTCATTCAAAATTTTTCTCATATAGAAAATAATTAAGTCGGACATTAAATGTTGAAGGCACGGGTATTAAGCATATTAACGCTTTCGGTCAAGGTATATCCCTCGGGCCAGAGGCCCGAGGGAAATACACCATTGACGTCAAGCGTTAATATCCTTATAATACCCTTGATACCTTAATAACTAATGTTCAATATAATTGTAACCTGTATTTTAAAATAAATTGTTTTTTTTTTGAAAAGTGATTTCAAGAGTTTTTGAGATAACTTACATGTAAACGCATATTTACAGATAATTTTGCTCTCTATTTTTAAGTGTTGACAACCACCAGGGTCATCCACACAGCCACACCTCGAAGTTCTACTAACACGACCAAAACGCTTAGTCGTCTCGTCTCCCTAGATCATGTCATACATCAGATGTTTTCCCCCTATGGGTCTGCCTCTTGGTGTTAAAGCCTCATTCTCTGGGTTGTCTTCTTCGTTGTCTTTCTCTGTCTGTTCATATTATTTATTTTCTTCATTTATTTCCTCTGTCTTTTCTTCACTTATTTTCCCTTGGCTTTCTTCTGTTTCATAAGAAACAGTCTGGCTTGGACAAGGGTTTGAATGAAAGATATCTGCAGGCAAATCGACCACAATGTTGTGTCATCTGGAGCATTTTTACCCTGTGCAAAAACTAGGTGATGTCTGTTTTTCCGAAACCTTTTTGATTGATTATCCACACTCTATCATTAACTTTTAAAAGCTTGAGATTCCACTCTCTGTGGTATCTGTTGTAATTTTCAGCTTGTTAAATTTTCAGATGTTGTAGATTTGACGTTAAAAAAAAATTATGTTGCAGAACTAGCAATCTCAGCTCCAAATGAAGACGAATCCGGAGTAATATATATTTATACGTTCGACACTATCATGAAAACATTAAAGATTTTCCAAAGGATACAAGGAAAACATATAAATTCGAAATTAAAGGGATTTGGTATGAGCTTATCCAGAGCTATAGATATTGATGACAATGATTTTCCAGGTATGACTATTTTGGATTATTAAAAAAATCTCCAATAATTAGTTGTTTTTCAGATTTTGCAATTGGTTCACCTTTATCAGGACACACAGTCATACTACGAACAAAACCAACCATATCTTGGCTTGCCAAAATTGAAATATATTCACTGCTATTAAGCAAAGATATGAGAGACCTTTCCTTTCAATGCTGTTACAATTTTACAGGTTATGCTGGGGAAAATTCAAGTAAGTAAATTAAAAATTCTCATTGTTTATGTATAATTAATGATATATTTTTAGGTATCCTAAGAAATGTAACAGTTGATAGAGATTTTAATAGATTTTCCTTCAAAGAAAGTAAAAATAGTGAAGAAAAGGTTATAAATATTGAACAAGACATGGAAAATATAAAATATTGCGATACAATAAACCTTATCAGAGTAAGTAAAATTATCTATCAAGATCAAGAAATATAAACTTTTACCTACTCGTTCCGTTTTATAGACAGAAATCCATAACTACAACGACCCGATTCCAATTACGCTCAGCTACAGAATAGCAGAAAATCAAAAAGCGAATCAAAAGAATCCAATAGTTATTGACAGCCAAAATATAATATCGGCTGACACGTTTTGCAAAACTTGTCCGCAGTTGAGTGAAAAATCTCAAACAACTGATACCAAGTTGGTATTTTGGCTCGAGAAATGTAATCATTTTGGACAATTGGAGCCGTGCATTGCGAAATTGGAAATCGAGGCAAGATTTTTGGGCTTGTTGTAAGTACATCTTCATTAAAATTTGATTACTTTATTTGACATAATGCGATTGATTTTTTTTTATATTTATAACTGTGATTTTCAATGTATAGCCCATATGTCCCATTGACAAAGTTTCCCCACGCCCAAATTTCCTCACGCCCAAGTATTCCCGCGTCTAATATCCTAGACCGGTAGAGGGTGATACCTTGAAAACTTCCCACCCTGAATATCTCTTTTTATGAAAAAGGTCATCGTCACGTCAACTGATTTTGCGAGGGAGACATATTTTTTTTAAACTAATTTATTTTACATAAGGATATAGTTGAAATACGTATCATAGACTGTTAACTCTATTGTTAAAGCTAACAGTCTATTTTAACTCTAACAATATCTTATCTAATAAAGAATGAAGGCTTTCACGGCCGGTCAAATCTAGTAAAAAAAGTTTTTTCCGGGCTATAATGCCGTGGTCCATTAGTATTTCTACCTAACGTTTCATCTACTGCTGCGGTAGACATCTTCAGAAGCGGTGTGATAGAGGACTAAGTGCTCTCTTCCGTGTTCCTCCGATGACTGGATTCGACGTGCATTTGAACTCATGTATATTCAATATTTTTACAATGAAAATTTTATGTATAATGTTATTGACAATCATATAGGTACTTGAAGATAAACTTAGAAGCTAAACTAACATGGTGTGCACCTTAAGATATTTCAACTAAAAGTAAGTAAAATAAAACGGACAAGTTGTCTTCAAGAGACTTCCCAAACCTATACTTAAAATTAAATGGTCGTGGTCCTGGTCCTCGTCAGGAACTCCTGGTCCTGGATGGCTTCTGTTTCGGCAGAGCTAGGTGTGGGTTTCCTGCGTCGGACTACCTCCCCAGGCGAGGGAAGCTGTCTCCGGCATTCAGCGTCCTATGTTTGGCTAGCTTCTTGCTGCGTGCGTCCCTCCTGGGAGGGGCATGCTGCAGTAAGGCTGGCAACTTGCCTCCGATAGGCATCCCAGGCTGGGAAGCTGTCTCTTTGGCAGTGGGCGTCCTGTTTGACTTCTCAGGCAGAGAAGTCGGGGGCGGCTTCCCCCTGCGTATGATCCTCAACCCCTGCTAAGTCCAGGGCTGATGATGAACGCAGCAGTAGACCTGTTATGGTGGGTAGTCATCGTTCGGAACTCTGTAGTGGCCTCTCTCGTGTTGTGGGGGGGCTTGGTGGGAGTCCCGGATGGTCTGGCTGGTGTGGGCTCTGGCATTCAAAAAGTAGCTGGTGTTCAGCTTCTTGATGTGTTCAGGTAGCGTCTCTAGTTCGTAGTCCGATGAAGTATTTCTCATGTACCATGGGACGTTCGCGATGATACGGAGATTCTTGTTCTGGCAGGCAGTCAGTCTGTTCAGGTGAGTGGGTGCTGTGGTCGACCATGTCGTGGATCCATAGGTGAGGATGGGCCTGAGCATTGATTTTTACATCAGGAGTTTGTTCTGGATGAATAACTTGCTCCTCCTCCTGGATATGAGAGGAAAGAGCATTCGTAGTGTTGACTCTGGTGATCATGATATGTTGTCTCCAGGTGAGGCTCTAGTCGAAGTGGAGGCCAGAAATTTAGCGTTACTTCTCCAGGGGACGTCGTGTCCTGATAATCTCACGTGTCCGTGAGGTCTGGCGCGTGTAGTTACGTCTGAACAGAACAGCCTGAGTCTGGTTCGGGTTCAGTTTCATTCTCCACCTCTGCATCCAGTTTTCCAGAGTGTTGGTGTATCTCTGGAGTTTGAGGGTGATCAGTCTGGATTGTTTGCTTTTGACGACGATGGCGGTGTCGTCGGCAAACTGGGCTAGCTGAATTTCTGGTCTAGCCGGGAGTGGAATGTCGTGGGTGTATATGTACAGCGTGGGAGCAAGCACGGAGCCTTGTGGGACTCCGGCGGTCATCGATACTGTTCTAGAGTGGCTGTCGTTTATCCTGACCTGCAAAGTTCGGTTGGTGATGAACGAGTGGATGATGCGGGTGAGGTAGTCTGGCGTTTGAATCTATTGCAGGTTTTATATGAGTCCAAGGTGCCACACCTTGTCGAAGGCTTTGGATATGTCAAAGAAGAGTGCTCCTGTTGCCTTCCTCTTGTTGAACCCGTCTCTAATGAACCTGGCTAGGCGGGTTGTTTGATGTATTGCTGATCGGCTGGCTCTGAAACCGTACTGTTGTTCAGGGAGTACGTTTCTGTCCTCGAGATGGTTGTTGAGCCTTCTGAGGACTATGCGCTCATCTTGCTGAGGTGAGGTAGCAGGCTGATTGGCCTATAGTTGCTTGGTTGGTTCAAGGCTGTATTGGCTTTATGGATCAGTATGACGTCAGCGTTCTTCCAGGATGTGGGGAAGTGCTGCATTTTTAAGATGCCATTCACGATGTTTGTGAGCTCCAGGATTTGCATGTCGGGGAGACATCGCAGGATCATGTTGTTGATTCTGTCCGGTCCTGGAGCTTTTCTTGGATTGACTCTGGATGTCAGGTCTCTGATCTCCGCACTGGTGACGGGTGGTATGTCAGCGTTTGGAGGAGGCTGTGTTTGCAGGAAGCGTGTGGCGGTCCTGCTGATGTGGTTAAGTTCATTGTGGTTTGGAACTGGCAGGTCTCTGTGTGTCGAGAATTGTTCTTGGAAGGCGTCGGCAAAGGCGTCAAGATTTGCCGAGGGGTCCGGTATTGTTACGTTTTTGTGGACGATGGGCGGGAGAGGTTTCCTTGGACCCTTGATCAAGGATTTAACCATCTTCCAGATGGATCCATCTTCTATGGATAAATGTTCTAGCCTGCTCTGCCAGTTCTCATTGTAGATGTCGTGAATGGCTTGTCGGATTTCTAATGTCAGTCGACTAGCTTCTCTCTTCATGGCTGGATCCCCAGTTGCGGTGTACCTGCGAAGGATGCGGTTTTTGACGCGGTTCATTTCGCGCAGTTCCCTGGGGATGTTGAGGTATCTGTCTGCTGAGTAGCTTTTAGTAGTTGACGCTTCATCGAGCGCTACCTGAATGTCATTTGTGAGCTTCAAAGCCGCTTGGTCGAGAGAAGTGGGATTGTCAATGGGGGCCTGTTGTTCTGACGCAACCAACTTCTGTGTGAAGGCGTTCCAGTTTGTGATGGTTTTGTACCTGTATCTGGTGTGTTTCAGGGCTGGAGTTCCAACTTCCAGGATGATTGGCAAGTGGTCTGATGTGGACAGGTCGTGGTTCACAGTTAGTGTTTGTTGTTGATGGACTCCTCTGATCAGGAAGATATCCAGGAACTCTGGCTGGATTACATGGTCCCCTACGAAGGTAGGGCCGTCTGGCGGCAAGATATTGTACAGGTATCTTACTGCGGCGTTGTCGATGGTTCTGCCTTTGAAGTTGGTTGTCAGGTTGCTCCATAGGAAGTGCTTCGCGTTGTAGTCACCTCCTACGATGACTGCTGTGTCATCTGGAAATAGGACTCCTACGTCCGCTTCGTTGAGGATCTGTCTTGGTTTAATGTACATCGAAAAGATGTTGACTTTCTTCTGCGGGTGTATTTTGATCTGGATTGCGGTCAACTCAATTTTAACGGATTGTGCCGACTGGATCTGATGATTTTGGATGTTTCTCTTCACTAGAATGGCTGTGCCTCCACCTGGCGCATCTGTGCGGTCCGTTCTGTGAGTCAAGTAGTTTGGGACATTGAACGTGTGTCGGTGCTTCAGGAAGGTTTCTTGTAGCAGTACAATGTCAATGTCGTGATCCTCTAGGACGTGTAGGAGTTCTGGCTTCTTGTTGTGAGCGCAGTTGCCGTTCCAAGACATGATACGCAACATTGCGGGTTGCTTTGTTTGTTGTGCGCGCTCGTCAACTGCGTAGGTTGTTCTTGGTAGCTCCTGTTCATGTTCTCTATGGCACTAGAGATTTGACGGAGCGTCTCGGGCAGGCTGTCGTTGATTGGTGCCGCCACGGGTCTGGGGCCCGCGCCGGCTCTGGGGGTCGTGCCGGCGCTGGGGCCCGCGGTCAGGGCTGCTCGACCGCCGGGTGGGCCCCCTCACAGTTGGCACATTTGGGGGCTTCTTCTGGCGTTTTAGTGCAACTCTCGGTTTTGTGGTCGCCGGCGCACTTGACGCATTTGGAGGCGGCTTTACAATTGAAAGAGGCGTGTCCGTATAATTGACAGTTATGGCACTGTCCTGATTGGTCCTTAATTTTCTGTGCTTCTAAACGGATTGTGATTCCGTTTAGGGTCACGATGTTATTTTAAATGTCCTTCTCGGTTCTGGGCAGGAGCACTAGGACGCATCGCATGGGGCGCCCCTTTTTTGACCCGGTCTTCCAGTACCACCTGGTGATGGCGACCGAGTGGTATCCCAGGTTTTCTAACTCGGATTTGATGGTATCCGTGGACGTAGATTCCAAAACTCCCTTGAAAACCACATGGAGCAGTTTGTTTTCAGGGAGCTAGAATTTATGATATGGCACTTTAGTAATTTCTAAATGACTCACCAGGTTCCTATAGTCCGTTAAGGTAGTAGGGAGTATGCGTAATCCCTCTTCGGTAGCTGAGGTTATCTCAGTTTTAGCGTCATTTGCAAATTTGGCGACCTGGTCGTACTTGGCTTTGTCCCTGAGTATGATTGGGGGCACCTTTTTTGAGTCCGGCAGCTGTGTGGCGGTTTCATCAGTTGTTGTTGTTGTTTCTGGGGCCGGAACCACTCTGGCGATGTTGGTCCGGCCGCGGCGTCCCCTCGGCACTGTGTATTTGCCGGGGGTTTTGGTAACTCCTTGCTTCGCTGCTGGTAATACAGCAGCTGGCTTCGCTGATGGTTTCTTATTCTGGCTGGATGGTCCTGGCATGGCAATGGATTGGAGCGGGGGGCTTGGCGGTGCTTAGTCAGCACGTGTCTGGCGTCGTCGTCGTACAGGGCGGCGTGGCTGGTTTTGGCTCCCTTTTGTCGTTTTCTTTGCTTCTTGCTAGAAAAGAAAGAGTTTTTGGTTGGATCAGAGTCTTCCTCGGACCGTTCCTTGCGCTTCAAGCG